CACAGGGTTGTAAGCAGAGGCAGGGAGGGCCTGTTTAAAGCACCACGTGGCTGCTGTGCAGATTATAACAGTAGAGAGGTTGCATGGGTGAGGACGAAGGATCTCTGGAAGAAAAAAAATAGTGCTGGAGAGGTGAAATGCCACTAGGTGGCAAAAGAGAATCAAGAACAGACCTTGGGCTCTTCGGGTTTGCCCTCAGCTAGGCCTTAGCTTCTTTGTAAAGGTGCTTGGATCTTTGCAGGCTGAACTTCTGGGTAGAGTATTATGCCCCTGCTGCTGTGGAAACACACATGCTTGGGGATAAAATCCATGTTTTAAAGCAGACTTTGGGCCAAATGCATATTAGGTCTGGCCAGTCCAGCTTTTGAAGTGGAGGCTGGGGTGGGAGGAGGGGTTAGAAGACTTCAAGCTAATTTGAATTCCTAGCCCAGTCTCCTTTCCACTTCCCATTCTCCTAAAGTGAGATGTTTCCAAACCACGATTTGAACTGCCCTCTGCTCTTGTGTTTTCCTGTCATTATAATTATCCTAGCTTGCTCTTCAACTCCATTATGCTGGTCTCTCCAGAAGGCTGCTTTAGTGCTGTGTGCAAATGAAGTAAACAAGGTCCCACTGTCTCAGGTCAAAGGGAAACGGGGAGTAAAGGTTTAAGTTTGCACATGAAAATCGAAGTAGAAGAGTTGAACCTACCATCTGTACAATTCGGGCTGAAACCTTTGCTTTGCTTCAGTTATTTGGTCCGAAAGAGGATTTTTGTTTGTTTACCTAAACTACCCAGCTTGCAAGATCTGCTTCACTTTGCGCTTGGTGGAATAATTTTGCTGTTTTACCTTCACTGTATCCATGGGAGAAAGAAAAAGATGAAGGAACAGATATAAGACCAGCACGGGTCAGGGACTTGCAGAGGGAGAAGAGACACTTAGAACAGAAAAAAAAAAAAAAAATGGTGGGAGAGAAGATGGTGGGAAGAAAGTCCTTCATGAGAGCAACCTCTACTCCAGCTTCCTTCTCCCTCTGTTATCATGGTCACTGCTGTTGGCCTAACCTGTCCCTAGGCTTCTGTATATGTAAGTTGGGATGGGTGTTGTGAAAATCCTCATAGTGCCAGGTGGACCTCTGCCTGTGTCCCCCACAGGACAACAGCTGCAGTTTCCTCTGGCCTGCCCGGGGAAGGAGCCAGGAGGAGGGGAGAGAGGGCTGGGCCTGGACGGGTGCCCACCCTTCAGAGCCTGGCCTCTCTCTCTTCCGGAGTTCCACACAGCCTCTGGATACCAATAGAAAGCCCATGAGGGAGTTTCCCTCCACACAGGAGCAGATCCAAGTTCTGTTATCCTAATTTTGTTGATGCTTGGATAAATAAGGGTAATGGGATCATTTTCATATTTGGGGAAAGTGAAACATACAGCAAGTTGAGGTCAGATGCGGGACTCTGTTCGGGTCTTTGAATTCCCATGACCTTTCCTGGAACAGCTGTGGGTATGAGGAGGCAGCACTGACAGGAGGTTGCAATCCTTGGCTCCCAGACCTAGGCCTTTAGACAAGCCAGGGGGAAGGAGAGAGGGACCTGGTCTGGGAGTGAGCCGCTTCACCAGTTGGCTCAGTCTCATGAGTCCCGCCCCCCACTCCCCATTTATGTACAGAATAAAGTATAAATTCCTTAGCCTGAAACTCAGGCCTACCATGATCTGGAAAACCTGTCTTACTTTTTTCTCTGACTTTTCTCACACTTAGTGGTTTTCTCTCTTTTCTCAAACACAATTTCTCTCTCCCTCCCTCCTTCTCTCTCCCTCCTCCCTGCACCACTCCCCTCCTCCCTCCTGTCTCTCTCATTCTCATTCTCCCTCCGCCCCCACACATCCACGCAGGGACTCTGGGTTCAATTTTCAAAGTTTGAGACAGGGTTTTGCTAAGTTGCCCAAGTTGGCCTCAAACCTGCAACCTTTCCGCCTCAGCCTCTGGAGTTTCTGGGATTGCCGGCATGTTCCACCACAGCTGGCTTTAAACATGCTTTTCATATCTTCTTTATCTCCACTTAACTCCTAACTACCTTGTGAGACCTGTCCCAAGGCCCTAGGATGATCACCCTCCTCCCCAGTAAAACTTTTTCTGACCTTCCTCAAATTCAGGGAGATCTTTCTTATCTCTACATCCCTATAGCTCTTACTGTCTTCAAGAAGTACTATTTTCTGCTTTGAATCTTTGGTTATTTCTTCATATGTATTTATTATTTTCCTCCAACTTAGATCGTTGATTCTCAAAAGACTAGAACCACCTGTTATACCTCTTTTGCTCTTCCACAGGATGTACTGGAATGCCCTGCCTGAAAGTGACCCTAATTGATTCAACTTCTAGGTTAGAAGGCATCTACTTTTCCAGAATGATACCAGTCCTGGGTGGGATCACCACCAGGCCCCAGAGTTGGTGCATAGATTGGTGAACTGATAATGCAGTTCCTGAATTTCAGCCTCTGGCATTGAACAAAAAGATTGAGATGGCTGAAGCAACCTTTTGGGTTCAAGGACTTTGAGCAACTTGAGTTGGACAGGGTGAAAAGTAATGCCATTGAAATCATGGTGAGCCTCGTCAGGGTGAAATCTCAGGGATCTCCTCAGTCGCAGAGAAACACCCCCTAGCCTGTTGTTCTACAAAGGTTTACCATTGAAGAGGGGAGAAGAGGGTGTAGATGACTACATCAGAGGGTCATCTTTACCGGAAAAATAACTCAGGATTATATTGTTTCAAGGGTGAACTGTCAGTACTTTTTGTGTGTGTGTGTTTGTGGCACTGGGGATTGAACCCAGGTGCACTTAACCACTGAGCCACATCCCCAGCCCTTTTTTATGGTTTATGCAGAGACAGAGTCTCACTGAAATGCTTAGGGCCTTACTAAGTTGCTGAGGTTGGCTTTGAATTTGAGATCTGCCTGCACAGCCTCTCAAGCCACTGGGATTATAGTTGTGTACCACAGCACCTGGCTGACCATCAGTACTTTTGCTGATAGAAGAATTAGCACTGTTACAATCAAAATGGGTTTAATAAAAGTAATTGTAAATTCCAGATGTTTACCAATTTTTTAAAAAAATTTATTTTTTATTGCTGAGGATTGAACCAAGGGGTGCTCCACCACTGAGCTACACCCCCAGTCCTTTTTATTTTTTTATTTTGAGACAGTTGTCTTGCTAAGTTGCCAAGACTGGTTTCAAACTTGAGATTCTTCTGGGTTGGGGATATAGTTCAGTTGGTGGAGTGCTTTGCCTCACTTGTACAAGGCCCCAGGTTCGATCCCCAGCACCACAAACAGCAACAACAACAAACTTGAGATTCTCCTGCCTTAGTCTTCAGAGTTGCTGGGATTATAGGAATGTACCACTGTGTCTGGCTTAATCAACTCTTTTAAATATACAAGGTACAATTAAGTCTGCTCTTGTTAGGAAATTTGATTATGCCATTAACTAGATAAGAGCTTCTCAATCTCAGCATCATTTACATCTTGGTCTGGACAATTCTTTGTTGTGGCAGCTTTCCTGTGCAATGTGGGGTGTTTAGCAATATCCCTGGCCTCATTCCAGTAGCAACTCCCAGTTAGGACAAACAAAAGTATCTCCAGATTACCAAATTGCCCTGGTTGGGAACCAGTGAATTAGAATGTGATCTTGAACAGTCACATAAGTTCTACTGTCTAGAACTTAGTTTCTTCATCTTTAGGGTAATTATATGTAAAATCCAGTGTAATGGAGTAACAATCCCCAAAATCCCAGGCTTAGGGAACATAAAACCATGAGAAGGATGTCAGAATGGGTGAAGTAATAGTGTGGATTCATACTTCCAGGATAGAAGTTAATTTATTATACTGGGGATTGAACCCAGGGGCACTTGACCATTGAGCTATATTCTCAGGACTTTAATTTTGAGAGAGGGTCTCACTAAACTCAGATGAGGATCTTGCTAAATTGCTGAGGCTGACCTCAAACTTGTGATCCTCCTGCCTCAACCTCCCAGTTCTCTTGAAATTACAGGCATGCACCATGTCATCCAGCTTAGGATAGAATTTTAGAGACCAGAACACCAGAAACCACAGTTGGGAATCGGAAGGCCCTTTGCTCTGTTCTCCAGCCAGGATTCCCCTGGCCCTGCGCACATGCTTTTGTAACATGTGTTTTTATGTGTGCCTTTCCCACTGAATTATAGATAAGTCCACAATATTTGTCAAAGTGCTTTCAGGCATCTGATTATTTTTAAAAATTGTCTCAAAGTAATTATCAAAAACTTCATGGAGATGAGTTCTAAGACAGGACTTGGAAGGGGTTGTATGTGGGCAGATCAGGGGTTGGGAATGGTGGGACTTTGCAAATGTGGAAAGTGACTTCGTGTGTAAACTTTGGAGACCTGTATTCTGGTTTTCCATTTATGTATTGTTTAATGATTTAAAAGCCCTTTCATGTTTGCTGATTTTATTCTTGCAGCCTTCGGAGATGAAAAAGGTATCCCACCTCCCAGCAGAGGAAACAAACTCTGTGGGTGGGTCATCAAGCCTGAAGTCCTGAACTGAACACGCTGCTCATTTCTGCAGTTCTGCAGTCCTGTGTGCACAGGTGAGCGGAGGTGTAGGGAGGAGGAAGAGTGGTAATGGTGGGTGGGGAATGAAGGGAGAGAAGTCTAAGAGGCATAAAAAGCCCTGTCTCTTCTCAGGGAAGCTGCAGCCATGAGGGACTAGGGAAGAGGTAGCATGATTCAAGGTTGAGGTCACAGCCTTTCTGGTCAGCTTCTTCAAAGCCAGGCTCAGGAACCACAGTTCATTGGCTCCCATTCAGTGCTGTCTTGAGTGGCCTGAAGGATCCAGATGAGCCACCTGTTTTGGTGGGCTTTATCCTCACTTTCTTGGATATCACAATAGGGGAGGTCTTCCAAGCACAGACTTCTGGCTGGGGATGTAGTTCAGTGGTAAGAGCATTTAACTAGCCTTGGGTTCAATCCACAGTACTGCCAAAGTAAATTAAGAAGAATCAGGGCATTTCCTTCATAACCAAGCAGAGACTTCTGAAATGAGACCTCAGGGCTGAGTGTTGGTATGACCTAGCTCTCAAAGAGGGGGAGCAGGGGCAACATTCGGGGTTGAGAAGCACAAGCAAGGCCTGGGAGGTAGGAGGGAGCCGTTGCAGTGTGTCAGACAAGAGAGGAGACTACATTTTTACTCTGACAGTTGTATGAAAAATACATTTGAATTGAGCCTCTTTTGTGTGGTATCCAGGAGAGGAGAGAGCCTGAACAGAGGAAAAAATAGGAATGGGGGAGAAGGGCAAATATGGGGGGAGGTTAAGATTGTGAGGGCTGCATAACTGATGGATTTGCGCTCACACTGAGTATTCACCAGATGTCAGACACTGACCTGAAAGCTCTTGATGTACATTTTAATGAATATGAATGCTGCCATAAAGTATAACATGGTATCCTCAAGACCTGGAAGTGCATGGTGGTGGAGTAAGTCTGTAATCTGCAGAGCCAAAATTCAGTTCCTGGTCTGTTTTACTCAAAAGCCTTGATCTTAGCCATCACACAGTCCTGACCCCCCAGGAGGTAGGTTAGGGAGACAGATAAGCCCGGGATCACTCTCAGGTTTCTTGCACAGGTAACTGGGGAAACTGAGGTAAACACAGGAGTGAGTTGTGAGAAGGATGAACTTATTTTGGACTCGAGTTTGTGCAATAGGAAGGGTAAGTCTGGGGAGCCGTGGATAAGGGGCCATAGAAAGAACAGCAACTTCTTTCTTTGGTCTCCCTTTGTCCCCCCCCCCCCCCAGGCTGCAGAGTGGGCCTCAGAGTACTCAGTGTTCAGCCTTCTGACTCCTTCTCCTGCTGGTGAAAGTGAAAAGGTTTTCACTTTCATTTCTAAGAGAAATCTCAGAATGTTGACAACACCCTGCATAGACACAAGGCTGAGGGGCCTGTGGAAATCAAGGTCGAGGGCTGGCAGGCTCCGGGAAGCTTGCTTTTTGATGAAGGGGCAGATATTCGGTAAAAAGAGAAATAGGAAACCTGGCCCTTTCTCCAGCACAACAAACCACCCAAAGATCAACCGAGAGTGAGAATCTGATCAGACCAGGCTCAGTGGGTCCACTACCTTTTAAGTCCAGGTTATACTGTTAGAAACAATCTGTCAAGTTTTGGGTTTTAGAGTCATCGTGCATAGATTTCCAGGAGTGCTCTGACGGGGCCTGAATCACACATTAGGGGCATTGGTTGATGACAGGGACTGTGGGGAGTCCTTGAGGTAGTCCTTGATTCTCAGCCTGGCATTTTGGTGGGAGGTCCCTGTGCACATGGCCTTGGGGGCTCCTGTGAGTGGGACCAGGGAGTGCTGGACCCTCCGTTCTCTGAGGGTCAGGAATAAGCAGCACTTTATTTCTCAGAAACATGATGGTGCTTTCCTTTTCACCTTGCTGAGAGAGCAGGGCTGATGAGCCTGAGCAAACATCAAGAAGCAAGCCCAGGAACTTCGAAACTTCTGGCAAGGAGGCTGGAACTAAGTGTTCTGAGGACACCAATGAAGAGACGATCAGAGAGCAATGTTTCTTTCCTCCCACCCATCCAACCCCCTCAGCACAGGGGGTCCCGAAATTCAGGGCCCACTCATTCTTTCCAGGCTGGTCTTTACCCAGAGACTTTTTATTAGCCTCATCTTACCTCTAGCTTGTTCTTGGCCTCAGGCAAGAAGCATCCCTGCCCCGCCCAGCTGTCTTCAGTTCCTGTTCTTCCTCCAGAACTGTTAGACTCATCAGCCCAGTTTGTTCCTCTTAGTGCTCTGCATTTTTTAGCAAAGGGTGTTGGGCCAGGGACCACTGGGAGCATTTCTCACTCACAAGCTGGCTGAAGCTCATTCTACAAGTGTTGCAGCTCACAGACTGGGTGAGACTGAGACCTGGTGGTGGACCAAGGGAGGGATGGTGGAGATGGCAGATTACCTGGGTGGACTTGGGCAAATGCCTCCCCTCTCTGGGTCATGAGGACTTGGGCTCAACGGCCACCTTTAAAAGAGCAGGGAAGGCATATGGGGAAGGTTGGGTAGTACTGGAGGCTCTGGGAAGGGGCATACAGACACGGTAGGCCCACCCTACTTCCAACCGCCTTAACTCTGCCAGCAGGAGGAATGGCACCAGCTGTGGCCCAGCTTCTCTTCCTCCAGCTTGTGCTAGGGCCCACTCTGGTCATGGCTGTCCAGCTGGAGATTGCTGTCCAGAACTTCCGCACCTTAAACATGGACTATCCCAAGGCGAAATTCCCAGATGATTTCAAGGGCTACTGTAATGGTTTTATGTCCTACGTGCGGGGCAGAAAGGAACAATGGTATTGCCCTGAGACACATTACGTGTTGCACAGCCCCTGGAAAGCCATCTGGAAGTCCTGCAAGAATAGTGAGAGCTTCTGTGAGAACTACAATGAATACTGCACACTCACCACGAAGCCCTTCCCCATCACAATCTGCAGAGTGAACAAGAGACAGCCGCCCACCAGCTGCCGCTACTCAAGCACTGAAACCAACCGACAGCTCTACCTGCTCTGCTCCAGCAAGTATGAAGGCCAACCGATAGGTATCCTTGGCCTCTACAAGAGAACTTAAAATTGACAATTTCTTCCCTTCCAAACCTACCTGGTGGGTATCTCTAGCTATAGGAACCTCCCTGAAACCTTTAGACCCACTTTAGCCTCATTTCCCTACAATCCTCCTCAGTCTCTGTTCTGCACCTCTCGGAAATCCTTGATATTTCCCTTTATATAATCTGCCCTTTCCTTTCTCCTCCTCATGAGTCCAGAGCTATCTCTCCCAGCACTCCCACTGCTGTCAACCTGCCTTTCTTCTCATCTAGGGCCACTGGGATTTCAAGTTATCTTCTCTCATCCATTCCTTTATTTTTAGTAGCTCCCAACATTGTCCAAACTCCAGGGTCTGCTGCTAATAAAGCATGAGGTGGATGAGGTGGGCCTGGTTCTGGCCATGTAAAGTTTTAAAACCACATTCTGAGTTAAGATAGAACCATTGGGGAAAACTGGGTGTAGGGTACATAAGACCTCATTATACCAATTTTTGCAACTTCTTGTGGATCTGTAATCATTTCAAAATAAAAAGTTAAAAACGCATCTGAATCAGTCCTGATTTAATTCTTTTTTTCTTGCTCTCCAAGTCCTAGTGACCACCCATCTCTGGCCAAATTGCCCAGCTACCCTTAGAAATCAAAAGATGTAGTTCAGTAGCAGAGCATATTTGCTCAGTATGTGCAAGGTCCTGGGTTTGATCCCTAGAACCTCCCAGCCCCTAATACACACAGAGGTCTTCCGTTCCATGGGTACCATGATGGAGTTGGGGTGGGTAAAACTCACTTCTAACCTGGGTGTTGAAAATGGGTTCTCCTCTCCCCCAGCTCTGGAACAAATTTGTAATAGGAGTCAGGCTGCCTTACCTGGTTTCTATTTCTCTCCCAACAAAACCTGGATTGCATGTGGAAGGTTAGAGGGATAAGAAAGGATCAAATAATTAGTTGGTACAGGGGCTTAATAGGCTGAGGCAGGAGGATCCTGAGTTCAAAGCCAGCCTCAGCAACATAGCAAGGCCCTAAGCAGCGAGACCCTGTCTCTAAAATATAAAATATAAAAAGGGCTGGGGATGAGGCTAGGCTCAGTGGTTAAGCACCTCTGGTTCAATCCCCAGTACCAAAAAAAAAAAAAAAAGTGGGGGGGGGCTCCTATAATTGTCAGCTAGGTCACATTATGTCAAATAAGAAAATGCTATTCCCCTTGGGAGATAGAAGGGATGGATACTAGTGATATGTGAACACATACATACTTATGCTTCCACATCTCGCTCATCTCTTATCTCCAAGTATATTCCTCGTCCTGTTGTTAGAAATTGAGGGGAGTGCTAACTTACAGCTGATAGTCATGAAACTAGATAGGGTAAAAGGACATATGGCTATACCCTGACTCCTTGGGCTCTTCTCTATTCCCCCTCTCCACTAGTGCAACAATTAGTCCCTCACCCTCATTAGACTGAGCTTATTTGCTGCTGCACACACAGATGTTTATTGCTTCTCAAGCTCCCTGGTGTTAAAGATGAAGAAGGGTCAGGGCAGGCTAAGATGAGGCTCTTCTCTACTTCTTCTTATCATAGGTGCCAGCATCCTTGTAGCCACTCACATAGCCAGTGTTGTCAGTTACCTCTTCCCGTCCTGCAATCCCCTTGCCCTTGCCACTTTCATCAAAGCGCTCCTTGTGGGTACCGGTGTACTTGCTGGTGTCTGTCAGACGATCTACTCCACCCACTGTTGTTGCCTTCTGCAAGCCAGAGGAGGGGTTTGAGCCCTCTTCCTTCCCCTGCACTGTCACAGCCCTTCCCCAAAGATGGCTTTAGATCCTCAGAACAAGAGTGCACAGCTCTTGCTATGCCTCTGGCACAGTACTGCTTCCTCATGGCCCAGAAGCAGCTGTGGGCAGGGCCTCTGGCAAGAGCTATCTACTCCTGAGGCAGGAGGAATCTGGTGTAAGAGTGCGTGTGGTCTGTGAGGAGGAGGGGTGGATGCTTCTGTTTCCACTGGAGTTTTTCTGACCAGACTGCTGCCAAAGAACTTCAGCCTCTGACCCAATGGACAGAGTAGAAATAGCTTTTCATATAGAGGATACAATTAAGTAAAATGGTGGGTGACAGGTAAGAGGTCTCTCTTTCTCTCTCTCTCTCTCTCTTTTTTTTTTTTTTTGGTACTAGGGATAGAACCCAGGAGCACTTTACAACTGAACTATATCCCCAGTCCTTTTTATTTTTTGAGATAGGGTCTCCTTAAATTTCTGAAGGTCTTGCTAAATTCCTGAGGCTGGCCTTGAATTTGTAATCTTGCCTGAACTTCCCTAGTGACTAGGATTACAGGCAGACTCCACCAAACTTGGCAAGGGATCTCAGATTAAATCTTAAATAAGAATAGGAGAAGGACTGAGGATCAAGTTCCAAACCCCCTATGTTAATGTCCCCCCAAAGCCCTAGATGCCTGGCTCAGATCCTGGAGACTTGGGAATGATTCTAAATTCTACTATTAAAATAGCTATATTGCAGCTAGGGGTGTGGCTCAGCTCCAACCCCCAATTGCCATGCACCTTGGGCAAGTTATTTCCCTTTTCTGGGTCACCTCTGGAATGACTACATGGTCTGTAAAGTCTATGCCAGTACCAACAGTGAACCACAGACTTAATGCTCTGTTTCCTATAGTTGCACTGGATTCAGGACATTAATGAATGGGAGAGGAGACTGCAGCAGTAGGGATTTAGGGAAGTAGAATAAAGGGCTAAGGATGAAGAACATCACTCACAGTAACTCCAGTGGTGGCAGGGTCCTTGCCTTCCATGAGTTCAAAAACAGCCTGTAGGGCTTCATCTGGGTTCTTCCCCTTGAACCGTTTCTGGCCCAGCTCCTTCATTGCCTCTTGAAACTCTGAAAATGTGATGGTTCGGGCATTCTTGGCCCTGGTGAGTCAGACAGAAATCCAGGGACTTTGAATATGAACTCATTACCTTTCCCTTACTCAGACTTGGCCTCTTTTGTCCTATCTATCACCAAATGTCTTGAAGGCAGGTCCCCTCCCCAACCTCACAGGCTGCTTGGTAAGCCCAGTACAAATGCTGGGCCACACCAACACCTCATGGCCAACTGCCTTGCTCTGGCTACTCCCCAACCCCCACCTTTGTCTTCTTACTTCACTTTACTGAACACGATGTCCACATCAGTGGAGGTGACTGCCTTGCCATCCATGATGCCACAGTCTTTGCACAGTTTAGAGAAATTTTTGTTGTTCATTTCAGTGCCACTGCTTGATGATTCTCCGAAGACAGCAAATCGCTGGAACGTTTTCTCTGCTTCTGACGCCATGAGCAGCTGAAGGTGGGGGAGGGCAGTAGGGGGAACCTTGGGGGTAAGGGAAGAGGGGAAGGGAGGACTGAAGAATAATGAGGATGGGGGTTAATATACACCAGACACAGGAATAATTCCCCTCTTTCCTTCTCTTTTCATCCCCTCTCCATTCCATCTGCTACAGCAACAGCAGGAGTCTATCCTTCTCAGCACTTGGGATACTCCACATGGAACACTCCCCCTTTCCCACCACTTCTGGGTACCTGAAAGTGCCTGGATGGTACACTGACCCTTCCTACCCTTTTAAGCAAGTGTGTGCAGATGTGTGGGAGTCAAAGGGCTAGGGAGACTGTGGCAACCAGAAGACAGGAAGGGGCGTGGAGGAAAGCTTCTATGATCTCAGTGGTTATGTGACATCACTGCTGGTTCCAGCTGTATCCCTGTCTTAGGAAAAGGGTTTTGGTCTCTTACCTTGCACACTGAATTGAGCAAATTGCCAACCTTCTGGCTTGTTCAGATTTTCATCATTTCAGCCTAGTTCTGGGTCCTGATCAAAGTGCCTGGTGCTCTGCCCCACTATAAAGAGCTGAGGAGAGCCCAGAGGAGGTGTCTTAGTTTATTCTCACAGTTATAACAATATATAATCTAGTTGTCATATAAATAACAGAAATTTATTTCTGGAGGCCAGAAAGTCTAAGATCAAGGCATCAGCAGATTTAGTGTCTGGTGAGGGCTGCTTTTTTGGTCATAGATGATACCTTCTTACTGTGTCCTCACACCATGGGGTAAAGGAGAAAACAGCTCCCTTGTTTATTAGGACTCTGCCCTTATGAAACTTAATCATGATACCCAAAGGTCCCACCTCCTAATTTATCACTTTAGGAGTTAGGATTTTAAAATATGAATTTGGGGGGTTCATAAACATTCAGACAATAGTGATAAATGAAAACAGGTTGACTTCAGTCCACTCTGTGCTTCTGTCTAGTCTGTGTAGTAACAAGCATGGAGAATCCCACCCAGCTTTGGCCAATCAACCTCAAACTCAATTTCGAAGGGCTCCGGGTGTTGGACCCAACAGGGAAAGAGTGGAGGGTCTTGATGTGTAATAGACAAGAATATGTCTCTACTTAAAAGAGTGGAAAAATACTCTCTAGTACCTATTCTCCAAAAGGTTGATCATTCATATATATATATGTATATATACACACACACACATACTTTTTCCTAAACTTTTTCGTGTTTATACCATCTGCTGACCACTGGATCAAATTTCTAGTGAGGGTGTGACCAGACTTCACACTTCTTCGAATTCCATGTATGTGGTAACTGCATATAGCAGATGCTTAAAAACGGTTGCTTAGTTGAATGTATAGTTGAATATATAGAATGTACTGTCTTTGTTGGGACAATTACCCCCAGATCTGTCTCTGAGCAGTCCAAATAGGAAAGAACCCTCTGAAAGCTCTTCCTTCTGCCTGCAGCAGGCTGAATGGGACCCCCTAGGCATGGGAAGCAAATAGATCTCAGTGGAAATTTCCCACCTCCTGCCTGGCCCAAGCCCCTGCCTAGGCCCCTTATCAGGTTCCCCCTGAGTCATCCTGACCCAGAGACGAATTTAGATGCTGGAACCTTCAGGTCTCTCCCTCCCCCACTCCAAGTAAGATGACTTTAGATAAATCAAAGAAAATTGCAGGCAAAATTCTTGCTCTAAGTTCTCTTTCTACTGAAGTTCCATCATTGCAGCTGAGATCTTTGTCTTCTGTCCTATGCCTCTGAAGCTATGACCCTAATTTCAGCAGACTCTTCCGTGTCTAGGGTAGTGTAAAACAGCATCCAGAGACTTGAGGGGGCTAGGCAGGGAGCCATGGTGCCAAGCTTTTGTGCCAGTTTCTACAGAAAGAGTTATGAAGGGAATGGGAGAAAGAAACAGGAAAACTAGGGTCTTCATATCCGGGAACATAGGAGCCCCCTGGATATGGGGGTTTTGAAGCCTGGGTTTGAGCCCAACCAGTTCTCTTACTCTGGGTCCCCTCCTCCCTCTTGGCATCTCCTTCTTTCCAATAGACCTGCCAAGTGGGGATGAAAGGGGCATTGATGTTCCTTGGATGGGAGGGGGTTGCCAGTGGTGAGGGAAGTGGTGGGAGGGTGGTTCCCAAGCAGGAGGGGGAAAGCAGTTTGGGGGTCTGGGGGGGCAGTCTATGCTGGTGTTGCAGTTGGCAGCTCGGGTTCCATTGGCCATTGTTTCCAA